GGTGGGGGGGCAGCCCATGCGCGCCTGGGATGCCCCCCCGCCGGCTTCCCCCGAGGCTTTCAAAGCCGCGGAGGGGCTCCGGCGGCGGTGCATCCGGCGTACAAGACGACCCCCGATTTTGGGGGGATGTTTTTTAACATCAGAGGTCGTCTTGTACGCCGGAATATACGGTACTTCATCTATAACTGAAAGGTTAGCATAAAATATTAGTCACTTTCACTATTTCCACTGCAAACATAGTCAAATTTGTTTACTTGTGCGAATCCTTCAAACAGCAATACAGAAACAAAAATTTTAAAAAGAAAATGTGAATTTAAAACCATAAACTGTTAGGTGTAATACTGAAATGATTTTTTCACTTTTTTTTTTTTTTTCTTTATTCCTGTCACTTCATCCATAGAAAGAAATCCCACATGCAACTTTGTTTATATAATTTGTGTCTGAAGGCATAATCCCAGGAAATTTAACTTTTAAGATGAGTTTTAAAAGTAGTATTTACCATATTTATACAGTAAGCATCTTGACTTAGTCCTAAGGAGGTTACCGCATAGGAAATCGGTAGGAGGGTCTGACCTTTCAAACCTTTTTTCACACAAAAGATCTTGTGGAACTCACTGAATGACATGCATGAACAAAGATTGCTCACATCAGCAAGGTTTTGTATAATTGGACCCAAATTATTATATATTGAGCACTGTTACAGTATACAGTAGAGATGTAATAGTATAGTCGATTAACCGATAAGTAAAAGCTTATAGGTTAATGCTGTAGACAACATGCATTTCCTCTCCCCCCCCCACCCCCCCAATCCCTTGCCAGTATATTTTTTAGCAGATTGGCCAGCAGCCCAGCTCAGTCCCAGATTTTACTGGGTCCTGAACCTACCCCCGCTGCAGCTCTGCATATAAAGTGTATTAGGAGCCAGGTGAGCAAGCAGCCTGGCTCAGTTCCAACTCGTGCCAGGTCTGGGAGCTCAGACCCCTACCCTTTCCCCCCCGGGCAGGGGCTGCCTGGGGACTATAGAATAGTCTACTAACCAATAAGAATTCATGAGGTTAATAGACTATTCAGTTAATCAATATTTAACATCCCTAGCATACAGTCCCTCTCCCAAAGTGCTTCCAGTTGAATACACATAGGGAACATTCTAAGCACACACTATACTGGAAGATCAGTGAGTCTTTTTATGTGGTCGCAGTCTATTGATTAATGTATTATTCCCATTGACAAACTTGGTGGATGTGTGTTTTAGGGAGGGATTTGAATTGTAAGTATAGTCATTTGGTATGTGAGAATAGGAGGGGAGTTGCAAGAAGGATTGCCATGGAAGAGGCATGGAAATGAATGGGAAGATAAAGTACATATGGGCTATTTAAGGGAGGTGGCTTGGGAGGAGCATAGCAGTTTGAGAAAATGAAAGCTGAAATGTAGGCAGTAGACTTGTTGAACAGAGTCTTGAAAATTCAAGAGAGAAATTTAATTTTTTTGTAAAAGCTGATCATGAGAAACTAGCACAGAGTTTGAGGATGGCCACTTGGTGCTAGTAGTTGGAGAAGAAGATACATTGGACAGTAATGTTTTATCTGCTATCAAACAGTGTTTAGTATTAATGTATCTAATTAAAATCAATTTAAGAACTAGTCTTTCAGGGTATGCCTACACAGCAAAGTTATTTCAAAATAACAGCCGTTATTTTGAAATAACTTTACTAGCAGCTACATGGGTCAACCGCTATTTTGAAATTAAATGGAAATAGCGAAGCACTTATTTTTAACTTGGTAAACCTCGTTCCACGAGGAATAGCGCCTATTTTGAAATTGCTATTTCGAAATAAGCGCTGTGTAGATGAGGAATAGGGGCTATTTCGAAATAGGGGGCCTCCAGCCCTTCCCAGGATGCTCTGCTGGCCACTCTGGCCCCAACTAGGAAAACTCCTTTCCTTCCCCCCCTCCCTGGAGCCCTTAAAGGGATAGAGTCTTGCCACAGTGCCTGTGCCAGTGCCAGGCCTGCAAGCCCAGAGCCAGTACCCAGTGGCTCCAACGTAAGCCAGCAAGCCATTGCCAGCCAGCCCTCCACTGCTCCTCAGGACCAGTCTGCCAGCTCCTAGGAGCCGACCAGCGGCCAGAAAAGGTGGACCCCTTCCTGGTCCAGTGCAGAGATCAGGGACCTCATTGAGGTTTGGGGGGGGGATGCCGCCAACGTCCATGATCTCCTCACTAGATGGAGGAACATGGCTGTCTACAGCCGGATGGCTGCTAGCCTGGCCACCCAAGGCCACATCCGAACACGGGAGCAGGTTCAGATGAAAATCAAGGAGCTGCGGCAGGCATATGCCAGGGCCACAGGGGGCAGCTCCCAAACAGGGGCAGACCTAGACACCTGCCCCTATTTTGATGCCCTGTATCGCATCCTGGGGGGCAGGACAGTCTGTGCCCCCCAGGTGGTCATCGACCCTGGGGAAGAGGGCCCTGATCAGGGCACGGAGGAAGAGCCCGGAGGGAGCGTGCCATGCAGCCAGGACCCCCGAGCTGTACCAGCGAGCATGTCGCCGGTGTCATCTGAGGCCGGGGAGGCAACAACATGTGAGTGCCATCATTGTCCCCCTATGTGGGGGTGGGAGGGGAGGGAGACCAGAGACTGCATGCATGGACCTTGCTGACCACGGATCATGCAGCAACCTATGCATTTGCTGTGCCACCCCTAAGCACATGGCCCCAGCTGGCTGCTACACAGGCGCCTTGACCTGTTACCCACATGTGTGTATGTATGAAGGCACATGACGTGCTCCTGACCCCGGGGTGGGACACAGCAGGACGCCCTTGCTCTGCAAGCCCCCTCTACACAGAGGCAGGGGACGTCTCCCCCCTTCCGGCCCCCACACACTACATACAGCACAGGGGCATAGGTGCTCTCCCAGGCCAGCTCCCACTCCCGGGGATAGCAGGACATCCTGAACATGGCCTCTGTACTAGCACATTAGCTCTGATGGTGCGGAGAACTGTCATCCTCACCTTGCAGAGGGGGGGGCTGGGCTTCACCCACTGTGTCCCCAGGGATAACTGGCCACTTCTCTTGTTTGTCCACAGCCACACCAGCTGAGAGTGCAGAGTGCACCACCCCACCCAGGACATCCTCCGGCACCTGGGGACTCTGCAGGCTGACCCGTGCTCAAGAGGACTACCAGCGGCAGCACCAGGGGATACTGGGAGGCCTGCACTGCACCCTCGACCACTGGGTGCATGAAGACCTGCAGCTCCAGCAGGAGATCTGGCAGGAGCTGCTTGCCCAGGGCCATGCCATCTGCAACCACCTGCAGACCCTGGTGCAGAGAGTGCTGACTCCTCCCACTCCTGCTCCCCCTCCTGCTTCTTTCTACCCACCCTCTCCCCTGCCCCTCCTGGGGACGCTACTCCTGCTCCCCCTCCTACTTCTTCCTCCACACCCTACCCACCCCTGGGGACTCACAGTGCTGGGAGACAAGTGGGCCAGCAAGACCCTGAGCCTTGTGCTTCCCCCTTCCAGCTCCCTCCTCCCAGGTTTACCCCTCCCCTCTCCCACCTTCTCACCTCCCTTTTCCCGCCTTCTTTCCCCAATTTCACCTGAGTTTAATTCCCCCACCCCAGTTGTGTTCAAGAAAACAAACTCTCCTTATTGAACAAGTGTCTTTATTGTACATCAAGAAGGAGGGCTAGGGAGGGGTAAGTGGAAAGACGTGAGGGTGGAATGAGGCACAAGCCGCCAGTGGGGCACACCAGGGAGACTGTTACTACCTGCAGAACGTGCTGCAAGGCTTGCAGCAACACATCCATGAGATGCATGCAGAATGTGCTGCAAGGCTTGCAGAAACACATCCATGAGATGCATGAGAGTGCCCAAGGGCAGCTCTGGCTCCATGCTGTAGAGTGCTGTGGTGTCCTGAGTGAGGGCAAGCAGAGCATGCAGAGAAAAAAATGTTTTGCTGCCCCTCAGCGAGGTAGGCAAGCAAGTGGGGAAACCTGAGAACTGGCTGTCCAGGGGGGTCCCTTTAAGCACAAGCCTCAGATACCTTGTGTGGCTGCTGCCTGAGGCTAACTCCTGACCTGATGCTCTGCCAGAACCAGTTCCGGCCAGCCTTAAATGCGATTCAGTATCCAATCAGTGCGGACGCGCTATTTCAAAATGTGTGTAGATGCTTTATTTCTAAATAAGAGATTTCGAAATAACTATTTCAAAATTAGATATTTCAAAATAACGCTGTAGTGTAGACATACCCTCAGACAGGAGACAAATGGCTTTTACACAGAGCACTGGAGGAATTTTTCCCTGTTTGTTTATTAATTCTTTATTGTTAAGTACACTTCACTTGTCTTAAGTACTAATCATTGTCCTCTCTAAAGAAAAATGCTACTCTGTATATTGCACATGGCTTCCAGGGGATTTGATTTAATTAGGCATCAGTAAAGCCTTTAGCGAGGGGAACCAATTTACATTTTTTTTATATAGTACTAGTGAAAAATGTGATATTTTACAGGTTTGGAGGATCACTTGTATTTTTCTTTATCTTAAATTTTTCCTGTAACACTAGATCCCTTTTTTCTTGCTCTATAAATATAGATCGTTTTAAACTTCTCTGTTTTGGAGATCCACTGCAAGTACAGCCCATCATATGGTGAAAACACTGGCAGTAGTTTGTTGCCCTTTTAATTATTAATTCCTTTTATTTAGAAAAAAAAAATACCAGATGAAATGCCACTGATTATAAAGATTGCTTATTTAGAACCAAACAAGCTGAATATCTATACGTTAAGTTTTTGTTTAAAATACAGAAAAAAACATGAGGATTTTTGTATTTTACTCACAAGAATGGTGATTTTCAAGTTTTTCCTCTAAAGGAAATATACTGTTTACTTCCTTTTAAAATGAACTATACTAAATAGTTAGAATTATTTTTAATCTATTAAGAATTGACTATATGGGGCCAAAACTGCATCTTGGGGAAAACTGACATTTTTACCTTTTACCTTTGTCTCCAGTTTGTTTTTAGGTCTTCATGATGCTATGTTCTATTTGATCTGTCTGGTTCCGCTTTGCATCGCAGTTATACAGATTCTTACCTGGACTCCCTTCTCCATCCAGAACAGTCATATGACACCTGTACACTGAATCTTTTAACAATTGGTATGTACAGGAAAGATCTAGTTTTTGTGTTGAATTGTACAAAGTAGAATTAATATATTTTAAATGTGAAAATGAGGATTGTATTTAATGGACTACTAGACCAAATGCAATCTGAGCCATTATATTAAAGAAGTAATCTGATGACTATAAACATATCATAAAGGTCTTCCAGCCTTAGCACACAGCCTATTTGTAGCCCTTTCTAGTTCAATGAGCATACATAAGGCATTTGTGGGAATTTTGGCAAACTCCAGGAGTCTCTACTGAGTATACTGAAGAAGTGTCTTTACACACTCCATCACTAATAGGATAAAAGCATATCTGTTATGTACAGATATTACTGAATTTTAAGGGGAGGCAGCATGGTGTAATGAAATGGCACTAGACTAAGGGGATACTGGGAGGCCTGCACTGCACCCTCGACCACTGGGTGCATGAAGACCTGCAGCTCCAGCAGGAGATCTGGCTGGGGCCTGTCCCTGGTGCAGAGATTGCTGCCTCCTGCCACTCCAGCCCCTGCTGCCTCCCCAGCTACCACTCTTCCTCCAACTCCTGCTCCCCCTCCTACTTCTTCCTCCACACCCTACCCACCCCTGGGGACTCACAGTGCTGGGAGACAAGTGGGCCAGCAAGACCCTGAGCCTTGTGCTTCCCCCTTCCAGCTCCCTCCTCCCAGGTTTACCCCTCCCCTCTCCCACCTTCTCACCTCCCTTTTCCCGCCTTCTTTCCCCAATTTCACCTGAGTTTAATTCCCCCACCCCAGTTGTGTTCAAGAAAACAAACTCTCCTTATTGAACAAGTGTCTTTATTGTACATCAAGAAGGAGGGCTAGGGAGGGGTAAGTGGAAAGACGTGAGGGTGGAATGAGGCACAAGCCGCCAGTGGGGCACACCAGGGAGACTGTTACTACCTGCAGAACGTGCTGCAAGGCTTGCAGCAACACATCCATGAGATGCATGCAGAATGTGCTGCAAGGCTTGCAGAAACACATCCATGAGATGCATGAGAGTGCCCAAGGGCAGCTCTGGCTCCATGCTGTAGAGTGCTGTGGTGTCCTGAGTGAGGGCAAGCAGAGCATGCAGAGAAAAAAATGTTTTGCTGCCCCTCAGCGAGGTAGGCAAGCAAGTGGGGAAACCTGAGAACTGGCTGTCCAGGGGGGTCCCTTTAAGCACAAGCCTCAGATACCTTGTGTGGCTGCTGCCTGAGGCTAACTCCTGACCTGATGCTCTGCCAGAACCAGTTCCGGCCAGCCTTAAATGCGATTCAGTATCCAATCAGTGCGGACGCGCTATTTCAAAATGTGTGTAGATGCTTTATTTCTAAATAAGAGATTTCGAAATAACTATTTCAAAATTAGATATTTCAAAATAACGCTGTAGTGTAGACATACCCTCAGACAGGAGACAAATGGCTTTTACACAGAGCACTGGAGGAATTTTTCCCTGTTTGTTTATTAATTCTTTATTGTTAAGTACACTTCACTTGTCTTAAGTACTAATCATTGTCCTCTCTAAAGAAAAATGCTACTCTGTATATTGCACATGGCTTCCAGGGGATTTGATTTAATTAGGCATCAGTAAAGCCTTTAGCGAGGGGAACCAATTTACATTTTTTTTATATAGTACTAGTGAAAAATGTGATATTTTACAGGTTTGGAGGATCACTTGTATTTTTCTTTATCTTAAATTTTTCCTGTAACACTAGATCCCTTTTTTCTTGCTCTATAAATATAGATCGTTTTAAACTTCTCTGTTTTGGAGATCCACTGCAAGTACAGCCCATCATATGGTGAAAACACTGGCAGTAGTTTGTTGCCCTTTTAATTATTAATTCCTTTTATTTAGAAAAAAAAAATACCAGATGAAATGCCACTGATTATAAAGATTGCTTATTTAGAACCAAACAAGCTGAATATCTATACGTTAAGTTTTTGTTTAAAATACAGAAAAAAACATGAGGATTTTTGTATTTTACTCACAAGAATGGTGATTTTCAAGTTTTTCCTCTAAAGGAAATATACTGTTTACTTCCTTTTAAAATGAACTATACTAAATAGTTAGAATTATTTTTAATCTATTAAGAATTGACTATATGGGGCCAAAACTGCATCTTGGGGAAAACTGACATTTTTACCTTTTACCTTTGTCTCCAGTTTGTTTTTAGGTCTTCATGATGCTATGTTCTATTTGATCTGTCTGGTTCCGCTTTGCATCGCAGTTATACAGATTCTTACCTGGACTCCCTTCTCCATCCAGAACAGTCATATGACACCTGTACACTGAATCTTTTAACAATTGGTATGTACAGGAAAGATCTAGTTTTTGTGTTGAATTGTACAAAGTAGAATTAATATATTTTAAATGTGAAAATGAGGATTGTATTTAATGGACTACTAGACCAAATGCAATCTGAGCCATTATATTAAAGAAGTAATCTGATGACTATAAACATATCATAAAGGTCTTCCAGCCTTAGCACACAGCCTATTTGTAGCCCTTTCTAGTTCAATGAGCATACATAAGGCATTTGTGGGAATTTTGGCAAACTCCAGGAGTCTCTACTGAGTATACTGAAGAAGTGTCTTTACACACTCCATCACTAATAGGATAAAAGCATATCTGTTATGTACAGATATTACTGAATTTTAAGGGGAGGCAGCATGGTGTAATGAAATGGCACTAGACTATAGATCTAGTTCCCAGCTCTACCACTGACATGCTATGTGACTGTGAAGGAAATCACAACAATGCTCTGTGCCTCGGTTTCCCGATTTGTAAAATGGAAACACAAATACTTGCCCATCTTTGCAAAGCAACTTGAGAGCTACAGATTAAAAGCACAGTATATGAGCTAAATATTGTTTAGTGAATGCATGAGTACTTGAAGAATCTGAGGACTTCATTTAAAGTTCAAGAAATCAGAGATAATGAAGTCTTAAGTTTTAGTTACATTATGGTTACATTTTTTGAGTCATGCCATACAAAAAGTTCTGTTCATTTGTATTGTACATGCTAATATCATCATGTTTCCAAAATCATATATATATATATATATATGAGAATCCTAATACAAAAAATGTCTGTGGGACTTTCATGGGTCTGGATTCTTAAATTGTCTTTATAATGCATATGGTTATATACATTGATTTTTCTGTCTATTGATCATAGTCTATTTTTAAACCAAAATGTATAACTTGCCTTCCAATTGAGAAGGATTAGGATTCTTACTGTTTTGTGGGCATAGTTTTTGAGGAGAGAACATAAAGAAATCTAAATGACTTGTAGTCTGTGATTCACTGTATAGAACTAAGTATTTTTCTTGGTTACTCCTTCCAGTTTGGTAATAAAGAAGTTTATATTACAAATATTCTTTACCTATATTCTCTCTCTGATAATATTTTGTCTCTCTCTCATGTGTCGTCTTTTCTTTTTGGAGATGCTATTCCTTTCTGCTAAAGGACAATTCCCACTTTAACTCCTAAATGCCTTAAATAATTATCTTTCATTAATTTGTCCTTACGTAATGTAGACTTGGTACAACACATTTAGAACACAGCGCTCAATTTTGGTATGTCATGTTGTGCAACAGAAACAACATCAAAATGTTGAGACCTAAAAAGGTTTCAGGAATCCATTTAAATGGGCAAAGAGCAAAGGACAGCTTTTTTCTGAATGGTGTTTGGCAAATATATTTTACTTACTGAAGTAAAGAAGGATAGACGTGGATATGAATAAATTTTAGACTTCTATAAGGCTAGTAAAGGTAAACTTAAAGAGCACTTTTTCATTGGTACAACTCCAGCATAAGCCTACACAAATAAAAAATGGTAGTATACAAAAGAATTATAAGCCAGCCTTCATTCACACACACGAGGATTAACGGTATGGAATAATAAAGAAAATGTGTTGCCATAGCTGTAGTATTAAATTCATACTAAAATACCAAATATTTAATAGGAAAAGTTAAGAGTTGATAGGACTTCTTGATTTATTTTGAGTGATACCATTCTTCTCCATATGAAGACAGCAAAAGCATTTACTGCCACATGAGTTAAAATCAAAAGACCTGGAAAATTTACATTCAAGTAGCAGTCTCATCATAAGAACAGCCATACTGGGTCAGACCAAAGGTCCATCTAGCCCAGTATCCTGTCTGCTGACAGTGGCCAGCAACAGGTGCCCCAGAGAGGGTGGACCGAAGAAGACAAAGATCAAGCGATTTGTCTCCTGCCATCCCTCTCCAGCCTCTGACAAACAGAGGCCCGGGACACCAATTTTATCCCCTGGCTAATAGCCTTTTATGGACCTAACCTTCATGAAATTATCTAGCTTCTCTTTACACTCTATTATAGTCCTAGCCTTCACAGCCTCCTCTGGCAAGGAGTTCCACAGGTTGACTACACACTGTGTGAAGAAAAACTTTCTTTTATTAGTTTTAAACCTGCTACCCATTAATTTCATTTGGTGTCCTCTAGTTCTTCTATTATGGGAACTAATAATTTTTCTTTCTCCGCCCTCTCCACACCACTCATGATGTTATATACTTCTATCATATCCCCCCTCAGTCTACTCTTTTCTAAACTGAAAAGTCCCAGTCGCTTTATCCTCTCCTCATATGGGACCCTTTCCAAACCCCTAATTATTTTAGTTGCCCTTTTCTGAACCCTTTCCAAGGCCAAAATATCTTTTTTGAGGTGAGGAGACCACACCTGTACACAGTATTCAAGATGTGGGCATACCATAGTTTTATACAGGGGCAGTAAGATATTCTGTGTCTTATTTTCTATCCCTTTCTTAATAATTCCTAGGATCCTATTTGCCTTTTTGACCGCCGCTGCACACTGCGTGGAAGTTTTCAGAGAACTGTCCACGATAACTCCCAGGATCTCTTTCTTGTTTTGTCATAGCCAGATTAGCCCCTATCATACTGCACCTATAGTTGGGTTTCTTTTTCCCGATGTGCATTACTTTACACTTATCCACATTAAATTTCATGTCAGTATCACTGTCCTGATCAGGTGGTCAGTAATATATCCCTACTGCTAATTTCTTATTATTGGAGCATGGAATTACTATCCATAGCAATTCTATTTAACATGTTGATTCATTTAATATTTTTATTTCATTTGATTCTACATTATTTTTCACATACAGTGCCACTCCACCACCCACCCAGCCTGCTCTATCCTTTCGATATATTTTATATCCCAGTATGATTGTGTCCCACAGATTTTCCTCATTCCACCAGGTTTCAGTGATGCCTATGATGTCAATCTCCTCATTTAATACGAGGTTCTCTAGTTCACCCATCTTATTAGTCAGACTCCTAGCATTTGTGTAGAAGCACTTTAAAAATTTGCCACTGCTTATTTGTCTGC